TTTTTTTTTTTTGTAAAAATCTCCTTGTGTAAGGGGATTGTCCAGAAGAACCACGTGACATTCTGTTTATATCTCATTGGTCAGAACTTAGTCTGGGTCACACATACCTACAAGGAGCTTGGGAAGTGTAATTTCACTGGAGCCTGTGCATGGACTGTAGCAAGAAGCATGTGATCCTTAGAAAAATGTCTTAGAAGTTAAAACTGTTATTAGTAATAACAATAGTAACTCACATTTAAGGGGTCACAGGTACTATGTTTTAAAATGTATATAAACCATTTTATTTAACCTTTCTTTGATGTAGGTGTTATTATCCCCATTTAACAGAAAAGAAATTGTAGTTTAAAAGAGTTAAGTAGTTTGCCCAAGGTTATGCCTCTAGTAAGTGGTGGAGCTAGAGCTCAGAACTAGACTTGTCTTTTTCTAGATCCCAAACATTTAATCACTATTTTGCCTCCCACTTCTCGAATTTTAGTATGTTAGTTTATTCATATCTCCAATAGGATGTTTTAAAACTTTCTATCCTATTTGCGACTTTATAGGCTTTAGCTCTTTACCCTTTCCACCCAACACACACACACAAACACACCCCCTCATTTATATTTTTTTCAAATCTTTAAGTATTTCTATGCTTATATAAAAGAACATGACTTTTAATACTTAATTAGCTAATTGTGAGTTGTCTTTCTGTATTTTGGTCAGGAGTCTGCATATTAGAGTTTTGGCAATTTATTTACAGAGCACCCTTTCTCTCCCAGATGCAGCCCTAAAAGCTACTGGGGGTAACAGGATGAGTAAGAAAGAGTCCCTACCCTCAAAGCATTTAAATGTAATTCTTTAGAGGATGAATTTTAGACAAGTCTCTTAACATCAAATTATACTATGATACTACATGTAAATCACAATTGACCTAGATGTGCACACCCATTTGTCCTTATAATTACAAATGCATCATGGTTACCTCTGAATGGCCACCCATCCCTTCAAAGCATTCTCAAGAAATTAGGTAAACAGACAATTTTATTTTATAACTCTTTGTATTTTTCCCTTAAACAACATGGCTTATATTATTGTTTTAGTAATATAACTTAATCTTAACTTACATAAAGTAGATATGGGGTCGATTATAACCTATTATTTTGAAATGTCCATTTGTAAAAATGATTGAATTCCTATTTTATGACATTTTGAATAGTGGCAGAAATAATGTACAAGTGTAATAGAAACCCAAATCAAATGGGGACCAGACATGACATTTGAACCAGAGCCTACCAATACAAGCCTGTGTAAGGTTTATCATTGGTGTATTTTTTTTTTTAAACAAAATCAGAGAAGAAAGATGTTCCACCTGACAATTAGGGTAAAAAGAGCATTACCTGGGGGTGTGAGGCTAGTGACACCGTCTCCTACAAGACTTCTATTTAATCTAGTCTTCATTACCTCGAAATGGGATATTGTGAGAAGGGACTGGCAAGGACTCTAATTCTCTCCATTTCTCTGCTTTGTTTTCTAGTGCATCTACTGCTTAAAGTTATTTCTTTACAAAGAAGTCATTTTTTTTCCTATTTGGGAGCTACCTACAAATTATTTTGCCCTGTTTTTTGATTATGTATATACAGAAATATTTTATTTCATAATGGGAAGGGGATATTTTTTATAAGCATAAATGCATTACCTGCCCCTGGAGTTTGCCTAGATGTAGTCATTATTAGTCTTTAAGGTACTTTGTTAATTGTGCTCCATCAGTTTGAGAAGTCAGTTCCTTTTCATTTAGGCTATTTAATATGTTATCATGTGCCCTGACACTTGATTTATAGGTAATGAGTCTCCTGGATCTGCTAATAGTCTCTTTTATCTTTGATGGCCTAATTAACTTTATCTGATAATGGAAAATGTATGTTTTCTAATTGCCATTGAGGTCATGGGCTTCATTATTACCTTGAGTGAATTTTACTTTGAAAATTTATACCTTTTGGTTCCTAAAGATAACGATAAATAGCACTCATATAGAGCTTTAGAATTAAACAAGATTTTTTAAAAAAGGCTCCTCTACATTGTATGCAATTCTTACTGCAGCACTGAGCAAGTGATTTATGCTCATTCATGATTTCATGTCACCAGAGATTCTGCAGTAAACATAAACATGGTTTCCTCCCTCTTCTCAGATTATGGGGGAGAAACGTTTATTATAAATGAGATGACATGTTTATATAAGAAATCTTATGCAAGTGCAGAGAACTTAAGTGGCTTGCCCAGAGTCATTGTATCTCACAGGATTTCTGGGGATGTGTATGATCGATGATTAAACTGGAAAGGCAAATAGGAAGGAGATTTTAAAGTCTTGGAAAACTGACCAGAGAGCAGCGTTTTTTCCTAAAGATAACGGATAGCCAGTACAGGTTTGGACTGGAGTGGTGATATAATCAAAGCATTTAGAAAGAATATTCTGATAGTGAAGTGACAGTTAAATGAATCATGTTGTTGATGTAGAACTGAGACTATTAATACTATCTAATAATATAATAATATATATAAAAGCCCTGAAATAATGGGATAGTAGTCAGGACAAATAGAGGAGACACTACAATGGGAAAATGGGGAGGACTCTGTGGCTGACTGCATAGGAGAAAGAAAAGAGAAGTCAATGATGTTTGTAGGTTCCGGTGATAAGAACTTTGTAATAACTATGGGTAGTAGTAAGAGCTTAAAGAGCATCAGTTAAGAGAAGTCCAAATGTCCATTCATATGACTTCTTTCTAAGGTCATATCTTTGATGACTATCTCGTAGAGTATTTTCTAAAACCAGGAATAATGTTCCTTCGTGCTCTCTTCATTCATGATCCAATTTAAGCATGGCTTTCTCACTTTGGTCTGTCCTGAAGGAGTAAGGAAAAATTCCCCCCAAAGATTTAAAATTAGGAGAAAATGGAGCTAAGATCGTTACTCAAAAGCTGGTCTTTTCCTGAATGCGTGAAATGGTAGGCCTGCTAAGACAAGTGTGTTGTGCGTACTGACTGTTTGAGTGGATTGTTTCCTAGGCATTTTTTGTTGACCACAACTCCCGAACCACCACTTTCATTGATCCCCGGCTCCCACTGCAAAGCAGTCGACCCACCAGCGCGCTGGTCCATCGGCAGCACCTGACGAGGCAGCGCAGCCACAGTGCAGGCGAGGTGAGTCACCAGCCTTAGGAACCGACCTGTGGCTGAGAGAAGCTACAGGGATGTGGCGCTGTGTGGACTTGTGCTGGCTTTTCATTATTGTTTTATCTTGTTTTCCTTGCTTGACTTAGAGATTGTCATTTGGAGGCTGAAAGTGTTGGAATATTGACAGGGCTTCTTTTAGAAACATACAGAACCTTAATGATGGAATTTTAAAAAGCAGGATATATGAGGAAAGGTTGAAGAAATTAGAGGTTTTCTTAAATTCTGAAGATGGTGAGAGAGAATACATAATATAATAAAAAGTTCAAGAGAGGATACACACCCTTTAGCATACTTAAGTGAAGCTTCAGAGGAAGAAATGAATGTAACTTTTAGTGGGCTACAATTCGGTAAAATGTGAGGAAATTTCCTTAGTAAGGGTTGTGGATTAGATTAAAACCTAGGGCCAAGATATGGAATTGTGGTGTTCTCACTAACATTTTTTAAAATTAGAGGATATCTGGGAGTTGACTTATGTACTCTAAATGCCCAGAGAAAATGGGGAAATTAAGAAATATAAAAAGCTCTGCTTTTTGTCTACTTTGCTAGTTTGCAGTGACCAGTGGTAACCACATGAGGGCTTTCTAATAGCCTTACCTCCCCCTTCCTCCAAAACACCCCAACAACTAAAGAAAAGAAAAAAGAAATAATCTCTTCCTGCTTCCCTTTTTCATTAGCACCTTAAATAATAGGAACGTTTTAGGTCAAATTTTTTCCTCCTTAATACGGATTTATGCTTTGAACATATATCATCACTTAATATACATTGTTTCTAAAAATTCCTTTAAACATATTTAAGATTCTTTTCCTGCATGCCTTTTCCACATCTGTGTCCATATCATATTTTCAGTATTATGTTTTAGGTCAAATATTATTGTACCTTCTGTTATAAGAAAAGATTATGAATACAGTAAATAACTGGATTTGATTCATCAAAATTCCAGTCTTAGAATTTCCTCTCATGATTTACATACTTGCTCTAATGCATCCTGTGTGTTTGCTGGTTATAAGTGCAGACATAGAAGAGTTTATATGAGAAGCTCATATAAAAATAATATACAAATTTATTGCAGGATGAAATATCTACAAAAATATTTATGTTTTATGAATAGCTAATAAATCTTTACCTTGCTGTCATATAAACTATTAGTGGTGAACTAGATGATGCTAACAGCATTCCTCTTAAAAGCAGAACAGATCTCTCACCTTTAGACCTTGTGCATGATATGTAGCATGGTTAGAGCCCTGCCTGGCTTTGTTACGTGGCCAGTGCACTTTAGCCGTTTGCCCTAGCTTGCCTTCACAGTATAAAGCTGACTGTTCAGTCTGGTCAGGACTACATGCACAAGATTAAGAACAACACTTACATTTTCTTTCAACCCCTCTGCCTCAGAATTTGAATTATTTTCGTGGTCTAATAGTAGTCTATTGTGGAGCGGGATCCTAAGGTACACATTAAAATTTGAATGAAGATTTCCCTTTGTTTTGATGGAAACTGAGCAGTGGACCAGAGATACCCCATAAAGACTCAGCATTCGGCCCCAGTGTTGTTAAACTTTTGAAAGGAATGTGCTTCCTGGCCCAGAACATCGGAGGCATGAACATCCTACAGCTATATGCACATTTGTTACTGTCTGATGGTCTGGTTCGAAGAAGTGGAGTGTCAAGGAGAAGACCTTTGGCTGTTCTGGGAAATGATGATACATAGCAACATTCCAACAGGAGGGAAAATATATGTAGGTATATTGAAATAATAAGTTCTGTGAGTGACAAACAAGGTGTAGTTAATGACTGAATCTCTGCAAGAGTGGCTGACTTCATTCCTTAAAGCCAATAACTCAGGAGAAGCAGAGTGAGACACTCTTAGTTACATACACAAGTCTTTCCAGACACTCTCTTATACTTATTTAGTAAATATTCCAGGTAGTAGAAACTTTGGTATCTCTTCTATCCAAAAATTAATACTTACCAAACGTCTACAGTGTAGAAATGTGCGTTCCTGTGTTCTTATTAAGAAGAGAATATATGAAACTAACCGTAATGCAAAAGAATACAAATAGGAGTAAAAAGTGCTTTATAAACTGATAGTAATGGCATCTGCCTTATAAATGTACATCAAGTGCCATGGCAGCTCAGAGAAGGTCACACTTAATGCCAGCTTGAAGGTAAGGAAAGGCTTCATCCAGGAGTGGCTATTTGAACTATGCTTTGAATGAGTGAGTGCATTCTTGAAGGATAAGCAAGCAGTGTAGGGTGGGGATGATATTTCCAGTTTTAGGGCCTTTAGGAAAACCCTCACCAAACACCTAACTGATGCAATATGATAAAATGTTTGTGAAGGTTTGAACGGGCGGGAGTAGAAGCTCTATTTTAAAATACCAATTTATAAATCCAGTAAGTTATTTTATTTTGCCTTTTGTTCTCTTATTTTCTTATACTACTGTTCTAATGTCGTCTTAAAAGACTTCTGTAATATGTGGGGAAATGCTAAAACAGAAGCTAAAGCAATGTTAGAGTTTTCTGGTAAATACTAATAGGCATTTTTGTTTATCTACTTGTATATATGAGTTTCTAAATCTATAATAAGTATAATAAATAATTCAGGTCAGGGCAACCCTATTTAGCTCCTCCACACCTGCTATGATTAGCTCCCTGGTGTGGGAGGTTCAAACCAGAAAGAGCTGTTGTGCTGGGTGCTCTAATAGGCACATAAAATTGCCTCTAAGAAGATAATACACCAACTCAGAAACCCACACGAAGAGGGCTGCTCTTCAGCCTCTCTGCTGGGGCAGAGAATGACCTTACCTGCCGTGGCCAAAAGAAGGCATATCCTGGCACTGCTGGATATATTTTGGACTGCCTAGGTCTTCTCTCTGAATGCATTGTTGCAGATTTGTGTTCTGTCAAGGCAGAAGTTTTTCCTGATAAACATGTCTGCTGTTTAACATCTAAAACCTCAATAATTGTAAACTTATGGAACTGCTCCTCTACCACTGAGTAAATAGTCACTGCCCCAGCCCCTCTCGAGGACCTGGATGCCCCAAACCTTCCACTCAATTCAGCAACCAAAGCAGAGCTTTCGAGAATAATCCTCAGCTGGCATCAGTTCTGTTCAGTTGGTACTTACCAATGCTCGTTGTCAAGTATTTTGAACAACTTGGCTCTGGTTGCTGACATAAAGTACTCTAAGTCTTGGGGCAGGCAGAGTATAAATGATGCTCATGTTTGCAGGTAGGAGAAGATTCTCGACATGCAGGACCACCAGTTCTTCCCAGGCCATCGAGTACATTCAATACAGTCAGTAGGCCACAATACCAGGACATGGTTCCAGTGGGTATGTCATCCCTTTCCAGAAATCTTTATCTTTGCTTTTCATGTCAGTATGTACCATGCATTCTGTGCTGTGCTTCCCTGTTGTCAGCCTGCTACTTTTGCCTTGTACTGAGAAACTGTTCTATTATCCCTAAGAAATTGATTTGAATCTCAAAGCACTTATGTCTTACGATCCTATAGGAGGAGATTTTTTTTATACTACTCTATCTTTTCTGAGTAGAGCTGTTATAGTGGTTTGTTGACGTTAAAGAAAAATGTCTTTAAGGCAACTATACTATGTGGTAATTTCAAATTAGGCATTTGGTTAAGCATATTCTTGATATATATTAATGGTTGGACAAAATTTCAGTGGGATGTGAGCCTGTAGGCACTTCACGAAATACAAAAGCAATGATAGCACATCCTTAAGGATTTTTGTGGCAAATTTCAGAGCATAATTGTAAAATAAAAATAAATGGCTGTGGGCAAATAAGCCTGAAGAACAGCTTAATTGTTATTAAAAGGATAAGGTCGAAGTAGGTCAGTTGTCAAACTCTGAATCCCTAAGGCAGGTGGAGCGGACAGGCTGGCCGGGGAACATAGGAACTCCCTGCTCCATCTTAAATTTGAACAGCTCTCCATTTGTCTGTTTTTACGTTAACTTTTTTAAGAAAAACTTTACCATGAAATGTAATGTAATGCCCATGGCTTAAAGGAGTTTGACAGCCACTAGATAAGAAAATTCTTGGGTCAAAGTAAGCAGATTTTGCTTTATTATGTCATTACTAAGAGGATAGTAAATACTGAACACAGAATTTTAAAGTACTATAAAATTGTTGCTCAAAACGTTACCTAGTATCTGATCGTGGATAGAATGTGAAAAAATCATTGACAAATTTTAATTATAAAGGCAGTTTTATTATTGATATATGCTGAAATATGTAGTTAGGGACACTTTGAATTTAACAGTGAGATTCCATGTCAGCAAATAGTATTTTTAAAAAAGTTTATTCATATTTAACTAAAATGTGTATAGGTAGGCAGCATGGTGCAACTAAATTTGAACTGGCAAATGCCCAAAGAATTATACTTGTTTGACCATTTATTACTTTAGGTAAGCCATATTTCTTGATCATATTTATGAACACAAGAGTCATGACGGAACTAGGATTTCTATGTGGCTGATATTTAATCAGAAGATAGTTTTTCATTTCTAACAGTTACTTATAAAGTTGATTTTGGTACGCATTAGCTTAAAACAATTAGTATCTAGAATCTTGTTTGTGATCTCATTTGCAATTTGATGACATACGGCTCATCAAATGAGTTTAATGAGTGCTTAAGTAAGTCACACCTAATAAATCTATGTCCAATTCTCATATAATGGGGTAGACACAAACTGGAACTTAAGCTTATGTAGCGGCTCCAAACTTTGACTTTGAGTACAAGGAATATTTACCAGAAAAATTAATTTTTTAAAGTTTGGATTTATATGCACAAAACTAATACCAGATTTTTAAAATATTGTTATATTTTCTGATTTTTCAGCTTACAATGACAAGATTGTTGCGTTTCTGCGCCAACCCAATATCTTCGAAATTCTACAGGAACGCCAACCTGATCTTACCAGGAATCACTCACTCAGGTAACCATAATATCGGCATTTGGTTCAAGTCGTGTAAGCCCAACTCTTAAATCTTCAGTACAATGATAATCTTCTTGGAAATTCACTCTTTCTTTCTGTCATTCTGAACAAAGTCATCTTGTAACAGATACTTTATGTCATCGACACCAGGTCACTGTAGTCCTGGCTTTTCTCTATTAAGTACAAAGATTGAATAAAAATTAATTATAGAACCTAGAACCCTCTTTAAAGGTTATGAAAAAGAAACGAAAATTCACAGCCAAGAATGTCCCCTAGATGTGCAGATTATAATGAAAATAATAAGACACTAACCTTTTTGAGTATAGCTTGAGTAAACAAAAGTAACATAGAGTTTATTGAATTGAGACTTATTAAATCCTAGACTTGGTAGTCACATTTTTCCATAATAAAAACATAGTGGAACCCAAGGAGGGAATCTGATACTCTCCATAGTCCAGTGTTCCTCTGCATGAACCCTCTCTTTTAAACAACTTTGCAATACATCGTGCTTCAAGCTCTGTTTTACTTTCCGGAATACATGCTGTTCCTTTTCCCTGGCAAGTTTTTCTTTTCTGTGTTGGGAAAGAAAGATCTTTCCTTTAAAACTTGACACAAGCTGCCCCTACATGAAGATGTTCAGCTCTGCTGTGAACTCTTGTTCTCATGATCAAGGTTGGTATTGCTCAACCTCAGTGTTACAGCGAGATGGAAAAATGATGAGTTAATGCTGAAAATCTGATAAAACTCAAAGCCCATTTGATTTTCATGCCACCTTTACTGGTAGAAATATGTTTGCCCAATCATGCCATCCTGACTCACAGCAGTGATTCACAAATACTACTCGACTTAGTTGTGCCAAATGTTTTCATCAGAATCACCTGGGGAGTTTTATAAAGTACAAAATACCAGGTCTTATCTCCCACAACTTCTCTGTTGCCTCTGAATTTATAACCCCTGTCCTCCCACAGACCGCCCAGAAATTTAAATCAGGTCTGGGACAGAGCTCAAGCATTTAAAGTTTAAAAAACATATAATTTCAGTGGCACAGCCAGGTGTAATAAGCTCTGGTCTAGACACTAATTTGATAATTAATCGTGTAACAAATTGAGTTGTCCTTCTTACTATTTTGGTTATGTGACTTTTCTGCTTTAATTAGACTTTTCAGGTCTTTATGCTTCATTTCCAATTAGATTATAAGCTCATTACAAATAAAGATGTTACTCAACTCATAATTATTTCTCCTCCTTACTACTCAAATATCTAGAATAGCACTTTTCATATAGTGAATGTATGTATGTACGTGTGTGTGTATATATACGTAATAAATTACCGAATATCCTTTTTGTGATGTTCTCAGTCTCTCACAGCTTTTTTTAATGAGGTATAATTGACATACAACATTATATTAGTTTTAGGTATACAACATAATGATTCCATATTTATATATCCTGAAAAATGATCACCACAGTAAGTCTAGTTAACATCCATGACCATACACAGTTACAGAACTTTTTTGTATGATGAGAACTTTTAAGATCAGCTCTCAGCAAGTTTCAACACAGTATTATAACCATAGTCGCCATGTTGTACATTACATCCCCATGACTTATTTATTTTATAACTGGACGTTTGCACCTTTTAATCCCCTCCCTGCACCTGTTTCACCCACCCTCCAACCCTGTCAGTCTCTCATATCTTTAAAGCTACCATTACCTTCTAAAGTTTCTAAAGGCTAAAGCTACATATAATTTCAAGTATGACACTATAAAAGTTGCTTATACAGAAATCCTAGTTTCACATTAGTTAACATCTAACTCAAGTTTCAGTGCTTTACCAACTTGGTAAGAATTCTATTCTAAATCACAAAAAAATTATAAAAATGATACAAGTTATCATTTTGTATATTTGTATGTTACGGCATCCACTCAGTAATTTGTGATCCCCAGGAAAATCTTGTGTAAGAACTTCCAGTTAATAAAACTGCAGACATGAGCTCCTCAGTTGTCTAATGAGAGATATTAGAGACTCTGGGCCACAAAGCAAAACAAACAAACAAAATCCCTCCTCTTGCGCTAATCATAAAATAAGGAGAACTCTATTTTCTCTCTTTTCTACCAACTCCAGACACAATACACACACACACACACACACACACACACACACGCATATACACGCACTTCTAATCAATATCTGTTCTTCTGAAAGACCCCCATCCCCCACAAAAAAGAACAAGAAAGTGGAAACTCAAAGTTTTTACTTTTGCTCTGCTCTGCACATTATTATTTACACGAATGTAACATATCTTCAAATCTGCACTTTCAGAGAAATCAGGTGATTTAATCTACCTGAACAGGCCACCCAACATTATCATTATTCTTTAACAACTTGACAGAACCTTAACAGATCCTAACAAAGGGAAAAGCTGCAGACTCCATTTGGTAGCTTCCAGTTTTGGTTTTGTTTTTCTTTCTTTTCTGTTTTTTAGAGTCTTAAAAGTCTTTAATCTCCTAAAGATTGCTGAAGATTTTTATTTTTTAGTGATTCCAGTGTCCTCAATTAAGCACAGTCTTTCTTCTAAGGAAGATCTCACATGGTAATCAGTTGCTAAATTATTTGATAGGTTTTGAAATAAATTTCCATCTTATTCCAAAACTTATTTATAAGTTTTATTTATACTTTCTAAAACTGATTACAGAATTTGACCATAAAAATCATAGGCAGTCATGACAAGTAGGGGGAAGTAGGAACTTAAATCGGTGAGATAATGCCATTCTTCTTACACAGAATGTGTATACAGTGCACTTTTAGTTTCTGAAAAGCTTTTGGTAGTTAAGCATTTTACTTATCATAACAACATAATGGGGAAGTTTGTATTATCTAAGAGAACATTCTGTTTCAAATAGTTAAAAACCACATTATAAGAAGCATTCCCACAAATGCAGGGGTAGGGAACCAGCTGGGGTTCTTTAATCTCGTGTTTCAATGATATTTTTGACATGAGATTTATGCATGGAATAGAACTACTGAGTGTGTCAAAGGTAACTGTGACCCTTATATTCATATCCCGAGCAACGCTTCTCAGTAGCACAGTAGCTCTGTGTGCATTCTTCCTCTTCCACAGCACAGCCATTTTAAAGAAATATCCCTTCTTATTTTCTTCACAATGTGATGAGAAAAAGTGTTAGCCCTTGGAAAAGTCAAATAGGTATAACTCTTTACTTTGAATTTTTCCTGTTATGCTTGTGATTCCTCCTAAACCAGAGGATAACAAGCAGTTTATCTAGTTTGTATCCATATGTAGCTCCTCTTCCTGAGACTCCAGTAATGTATCTTTCCCTGCAGAATGGCTGTGGTTTCCATGCAATGGGATATGGCTTTGCTTCCAGCTCTCATATTTAAATCACTGCTCCCTCTAACCTTATCTATTATGCAAATGTGAATGCTAAGAAGTCGTCGTCTTTTTTTTTTTTTTTTAACCTTAGAGGAGGTTATTTCCTCAGAAAAATCAGTACCCTAAAGTCAGTACCACCTCCATCAAATGGGTATTGTCTCCACTGGATTCCTATATCTTACTATTGGTTCTCATTGAAAGACAGTAATCATACTAAGAAGCTTTTTGTATGCTGTGACATTAACATAAAAGCTAGAATCAAATGTTCTAATATTTTATCTGAAAACAAATATATTAATTAAAAAAACAACCTTTTAGCAATATTTTATAGGTGAATGTAATGAATACAAATTCAGTAAAATTTTTGCTATCAGTATTTGTATAGCATGGTTTTATGAATAAGAATCTAAGTGTTATAAAAGTGAATTAAGAATTGAGAATTTCGCCTCTTGTGTGATTATTAGGTCCAGCCATTAAAGCTATTCCCTATACTAGTCCTGCTTTTCCCAGGCATCAATGGTAATTATTTTGAGCTCCAGGCAGATTGCCTCCTTGAGTGCTTCCTAAATAAGTTCTCTTGCTATGAGGATGTAATCTGTGATACTTTTTTTATTCTGGTAAATTGATCCATTCCATTTTTTTGTCAATAGTAAATTAGTAACTTGGAAGTCAAGAAATTCTGAGCTGCAAAAGACAAATAGATACATATCTCAGGATTCACCAGAAAAGAAGCAACACAGACTATGACCTATTTCTTTCCATTATCTTGTTTTAAAAGCCCTGGAATTATGTTATTGCTCAATTATACTCTTATTTTTTTTTTTCATTTTAAAAATAGCACATGCCATTGTAATATTTTCAAACAATACAGAATTTTATGAAATAAAAAATTAAAGTTTCCAAAAGCTGACTTTTATAAAATAAACCCTGGTGTTCAAAATTTCTAATCTATTTCTTGTCCATTTTTTAGCAAGTGAATTTTTCTACATTTAATATTGCACTGGAAATATTAATCTCAGCTAACACCTGGGCTACTTGGTCAAATAGCATAAATTTACTTCTGCTGATCCTTATGCATTTTCTTGTTACAACCTGCCTGGCCCTCTCTCATAGTGTTCTCCTAATTTGTTCACTGCTCATTCGTATGTCTGAAATCAACATGACAAATTTTTTATCTTTGTTGTACTACATTTAGATAACAGGAAATATGGATTGGAACTATTATTTTCCTATGGACCATTCAGATAGGTATAATTAAAAGCACCTGATAAAATAATTTATCGACACCACGTAGTAATAGTCATTGGATGGTTCTGGTCTGTCTCTCACTGGGAGACCAGCATTAATAATGGCTCTTAGGAAGTGGTAGAATATACATCTTAAGAGTTCAGGTTTAGGGTCAGACAGTTTGAATTCTGACTCTGTAATTTACTTTCCAGATGCCTTTGAATGAAGCATTTAACCCCTCCAAAGTTATTGTAGTTTCCTTATCTGTAAGATGGACATAGGAATTTCTAACTTGCGGGGTCTTTTTGAAGATTAAATGAAATAATTTATTTAAAGCACTTAGTACTATGTAAGCAGCATATAACAAATTTAAATTAATATT